TCTGTGGTAACACTGTGTATAAGATATGTTAGACAATGTACAATGTCGAAGCGTATTAGTGCTGTAAATAAAAATAATAGCAGCACAGCAGAGCGTACACCGATTTGTTGCAATAATCGGTTGCGCGATTGATCTCGTCGCCGCAGTTGTGATACGAAATGTGATGAGAGTAATGAATCGTTTGACAGATCGTTCAAGTTCAGAGCAAATCGGTGCTGCTGTTTTAGTTTCAAGACATCCGAAGCAATTTTTCTCTCGAATGATGGTAAAGATTTTTGTAGAAAAGCATCCATATCAACGACTTCGTGCATGTCCGTTGGTAGTTTAACAGGTAGAAGTGATATTTGATCAATTTTCGGTGCAAATTCAATTATGGTTTGATTCGATTGTAGTGCACGTTTTATTGGTTGATGTTTTCGTTCTACGACGATTTGTGGTGTGATCATCAACATTTCTCGATCGACTCTGGTTGTAAATGATGATCGTTGGGGCCGTATCTCATGAAAATGCCATGACTCTGTACCGTTAGGCCATGGGTCTTCAAACGAATCTAACTCAAAGAGCGGAGAGGGAGACGGCGAGCAAAACGATGTTTGATTAGTTGAAGATGATTTACTAGCGTGATATGACCTGTAGTGTGCGACGTGCTGTGGATGCCATGCGATAGTGCGCCGAAATTTTTTCATCAGCGTTGCCGATTGCATCGTAGCGTTTGTGTTAGTATTTTTTTTTGAATCCTTATCAAATTGCAGTATCATTCCATGTTTAAAATCCGACCATGTGGTTAATATGTTTTTGTTTTGCTGATACCACTGCTCGGCTTCATCGATCAACAGCCCAATTGCTTGTTTCATTGAGACAGACTCATCAGCATGAATCATTTTAGCTACCATCTCAATGTCTTCGAACCATGCTCGAACACTTTGAATTTGTTTCCCGGTGAAGAAATATAAATGATCTTCTGCTAACTGTTGATGACGCCGACTTAGTTGCGATAAATTCATCGTGGAATATTGTAGTAGCTTGATCAGAAATACGATAATAAACGTAATCTCTTAAAGATGGCTTCTCTTCTTCGATGGTAATAGTAAAGAAGATCGGGTCGCGGCACCAAATATTAGAGGTTCACTTTATTCGAAGCGATACACCCTCTCGCAAGCGAGAGGAGAGGGCAATATATAGGAGAGAATAAAGCATCAAGGAATTCGACTCGAATAAGCACGTATCGCAAAGAACGAAGTGAGTCAAGATATGTAAACATATGACTGTAACAGTACTCATGAGCTATTATTTGGAGGTACCCTTAGGTCCTCATATGCTATTGTTTAGAGGTATCCTTGGATCCTCGTGTCACATTATTTAGAAGTAATCTTGCGTCCTCATATGCCATTGTACGACTGTACGCTGCGGTTCTTATGTCTCTTAAAATTTCCCACAGAATATAAGTCCGCCGTATAATATGTAGAAGCCGATATGGGACAGAAGCCCAGTAGCAAGGTTATCGCTTTCCAGACACATTAGAAGCCCATCTGTCCCAAATGAGCACAGAACAAATACTTTCGGAAATTGATAAGTGAACTCATTGCTTCTGAGTATTTAAGTATAGACCACTTATATGTCTCAATTGGTTTGCTTTGTATACATTTTCTACCAACAGAAAAATCACAAAAAATAATGCCTTTCAAGTGTTGAAAAATATATACCAATTCGTATTAATACAGCATAGTTGTCTTAGAAGTATTGAAAAGGTTTTATGTATGGAACAACACCGTTCTTTTAGGTCTTTTCTTGTGAGGAAATTATGTACAGCTCAGAAATCAAATAATGCAAATTTATAGTAATTTTTGCGGCGATATGCATAAATCTTTCACGAAAAAATAAAGTTTCTTCAGAAACTGAAGTATAATTGATACCAATTATGCACGAGTTGATTACACTTGAATAATAATGCCAGTGTGGAATCCTACGATACGAACGATTATAATACTCGGGAGTCTGACCTATCTATCTTTTCAAAATGGGAGATACTTGTTTTATAGTCAATGGATGTTTGCATATTTTTCTCGCATTATGCAAAAAATATACCTTTCCGTGTGGGAACTGTGCGTAGATTTCTCGGATCCTTTGTACTTGTGTGCTAATTAATTCTTCATAGTAGCATGGAACACAACCATTGCAAAAAGAACGCCTGCACAATCTTATAACTTTCACAATAGAATAAAACCCAAGGGGGTAAGCGCTGCACCCAGCGCCTGCTCACCATCTTCGCACCTGCTTAGCACTTGTTCGGCACCTTTACCGTATTTTACTATGAGCACCTTCGGCACCAACAGCACCTTCAAACACTTCCCCACTATCCTAAGTATTTTTTTCAGTACCTTAGGCTAAAATTTGAAGGGCAGGACCTGGGCAGTAAATTTTACCGTAAGGTACCGGAAAAGCATTTACGATAGTGGGGAACTGCTTGAAGGTGCTCATAGTAAAATATGCTAAAGGTGCTGGCTGGGCGCTGAAGTGCTAAGCAGGTGCCCAGGTGCTGTGCAGGTGCTAAGGTGCTGGGTGCAGCACTTTCCCACTTGATAAAATCACATTGACTTTTTGTTGTGGAGCGACAAGTGGCGACAGGCTAACAGAACATCGGGACCCAAGGGCACTTCAAAATAATGCCGCATGATGGACCAAGGGTGTCTCTAAATAGTAGCTCATGAGGGCCTAGGGTACCTCTAAATAGTGGCCCATGAGGACCCCAAGATGTATCCCAGATATATAAACTTGAGGACACCAATACTGATACCAGCCAATACCAATACCAATTGCTATTGACTGGTATTGGTATTGCTACATCCATACCTCTATACAATAGGAGATCAGGATCTAAGGGTACTCTCTGAATATAGGACTTGAGGATCTATAGGTACTCTCCTAATATAGGACTTGAGGACCTAAAAGTACCCCCAGAATATAGGATACGAGGACCCAAGGGTACCCCAGAACATAGAATATAAGGACCCAAAGGTACCCCTATAATATAGGACTTCAGGACCTAAGCGTACCTTCATAATATCGGACTTGAGGATCTATGGGTACCTTCTGAATATAGGACTTGAGGACCTAAGGATACCCTCCCAATATAGGACTTG